GCTCAAGTTAATTCAAGCTAACGGCCCAGGAGGAAAGCCTTCACATCACCAGGACTAGCTCCTTCTACTACTTTCACTGTGTTTGCTGATGGAAGGAACTGTCCATGACCCGTAGTGACTCAATGTAACTTCCACATTACCTTGCATCGTCATAAGATACATGCTGTACAGTAACTCCACTTGTCTCGGTGAATCTAATGTATAGATACAGTGACTCTAATGCATTATATGGTATCTTGTGATATTAAGTAAAAACCCATGATAATTTGTAAGTTCCTTCAAGGCATTGCTGTACTAGGGACCTCTGGTGAAATATAATGGAATTGTTTACTAACTGACCTAGTGGAGCTTCTATTTCACCTTTCCAGAGAGGAGAGGTGTGTTTGGAGATTATGATCCTGAGTTTGGTGTACAGTAAATCCTCCAAAAAGTGTAGAGATGCCATACCTTTTGGACATTCAGTCTTTGGACATTTAGTCATTCAGTCTTGGTTACTAGTGACACACATCCTACTGGGGCAGAAACAAGAAACCTAGGACAGGGCAGTCCCAGTCTGCAACTACACAGAGTAGTGGAAAGTTTTTACCTTATTCTGTTCATAATTCTTGTTCCTAATAAAGAGTTGATCTTTACATTTGTCTGTCAGTAAGATATTACACTGAATTCAGGCCTCATAACTCATTTTCATTTTATTGTTCATATTGGAGGATACTCCATCACTAATTTGAATTTCTGTCATCCCTGATATTATGTGCTGAACTTGAGGATAAACCAAGTCTTTAGTGATGGTGGCAGAAAGAGGTGATTGATTTGTCCATATGTAACAACCGTGTCTTTAGCTTGATTATGACAGGCTTGTTCAGTTCTCAACTCCAGCTAAATTAATGGAGCTTTTTACTTTAGCTTGCCAAGTAGAAAATACGTTTTTGAGTTGAATGTCATGATTTTGGTAGTTTGTTTTGTATACTGGTGATTAACAACAAGTATTTGGTCATAGGTAACCAAAAATTCTCAATCAAGTCAAGGAGAGAGAAAGCACAAATTCTGCTGCCCAGAGTCAGTCACTATAGATGGGGTGTAATACATCTTCCCAGAACATGAACTTCTACGACACCAAAATAATATATTAGAATGCAGAAATGACAACAGCTCCAGGTATGAGGATTTGGCTTTCCTTACTGCAGGAAACAAGTGTTTGAGTGAAAACCGTACCTTCCCTTTGTACTGCTGTCTCTCAACTCATGTGGTGTACACCTTCCGGTTTGAGTGGTTTCTGGACACGTATTATTAATGATAAAAGAAACATGAAAGTAGCAGCTGTATTTCTTCAGCAAAGCAGAACAGGTCCATTTCCTAGTGAAATACGTTCACTTTTTCTAAAACAAGATTCATGGAATCATGGAATATCAGGCTTGGAAGGGACCTCAGGAGGTCATCTAGTCCAAGCCCCTGCTCAAAGCAGGACCAATCCCCTAAATGGCCACCTCAAGGATTGAACTCACAACCCTGGGTTTAGCAGGCCAGTGCTCAAACCACTGAGCTATCCCTCCCCCCTCTACTTACAGTGAAAAAAATGAAACTGAAAGACTTGTTAGTAGATACTAACTATAACAAACTGCTGTTAATCTGCGTATAGCTGTATTTATTGAAACTACCCTCAGCATCATAACACTATTTAACCTCATCTTCATCTGCAATGGGAAGAAGTGATTATTCTTCTAAATAATTTTATGTCTAAGTTGACCCAATTAAAGGCATCATATGTTCCTTGCTTTGTTTGTATAATTAATATGTATAAACACTTTGCTTACCCTTAATCTCTAATTATGATAAACTACACATTTTCATTTTTAGGCAAGCTTCTGCTCTAAGCTTTCTAAATCTCTTCTGAGTTATGAAGATAACTTTGGAAAATTGAGGGAATTAGTGGATAGGGTCCCTCTGAGAGATGTGTTAATAGTAAAAAAGAAAACCGGGAGGGCTGGCAAGTCGGAGAAACTTGATAAAAAAAGCAGAAAGACAAATTCTGTTAAAAGAGAAAAAATAAGACAAACAAGGAGGAAAAAAATCTTATATGGGTAAAAATTACATACAAAAACTGTGGTGAGCGAGATCCTGCTTCCCCTTCCACTGCTCTGTGCATGGAGGAGCCCTTCCACATGCAGAAGGGGGCCTCAACTGCCCTAGTGGCATCATTTCTCCATTTTGATCTGGTGGCATAGACTGGGAGAGTCAGGGGAGAAGCAGGAAGGTTGAGGGTTGGGATGCCCACTGTTCTCTCTCCAGCCCCACAGTGCTTACCTGGAAAAAGTTAATACAGCCCTCATAGTTGTATTATCTTTTACACATAACCAACAGATCTCACCCTGCAGTCCTAGAGGCTTCTATGACAAAGTCACTCGTAGCTTGGCTTCAGTGAAGTTGCACTGCCAATGGGGTTCTGCTGGTGGCTAGAGCAGAGTGGAAGCAGCACAGGGTATCTGCATGATTTCTTGTGGGTTTGCTAGATTCCTCTTTTCTGGAATGTTGCCTCCCTGACCAGACAATATGGGAGAATTTCTGTGAGGGCTTCCTTGTGGAAACTCCTTTCCCATGTGGCTTTAGTCCATCCTATATTAAATTTTGCACTGTATGTATAAGAAATGAAAGATGGGTAGGTCAGAATGCATGACTATATAATGGTACGTAAGCCATAATAAAGGGAAGGGACAAATATCTTGATGTCACTGCCTTAGCTACAGGAGAAGGTGTGAAGAGAAGTCAGAGTGCTACAAATCTATTTAGAAATATAAAGTTAAGGGGAAAATATGTCCTCTAGTCAATAAGACAACCTGGCTGCAGGATATCAAAACTGCTTTTCATTCTTTCTTTTCTGTTTGAAAACTGAAGTTCCTGTTTCGTTAGATCTGGATGAGCTGATCAGCCTGAGGCAATGATAAAAGGAGGGGATAAGTGGTTGCTCAAGTTGATCTGTATAAACTAATTTCACTGTACCTATAACTAAATAATTAATCCCAACCTCTCATTCATAGCAGAAGCTTTATAACTCCAGTATGGCACAGGTTATTAATAACAAGCATCATTGCATCCTCGGGCCTACAACTTCCAATGTTACTGAGTTCTAGGAAGCCAAATTACCTTCTGTAGTTCTAATGCTAGATTTGCATGAATGCAATTAGGGAAAGCTCCAGTATCCATAACGGACATTGTCAGCAATGTTAAAGTTAAACGAGATAACATGCATACTGTGCTGTCACACACATCTTGATAATGAATGATTTTAGAGACTGCCATCAAGTTGTAATCAGATCAATAGGGTGCATGCAACTGATTGAAAGTGAAAGACACAAAGCCACTCATAATGAAATATTCTTCCTTATAGGTATATTAAATGGCCATAGCTAATGTAAAAGTAACCATGATGTAAGAGATAAAAAGGGTCAACTTCTCCCAAATTACTTTAATACCTCTGACAAAATACAGAGACCACTCAGATTTCAATAGTTGGTGGGTTTTGGAAAACTGTCAGTTCATCAAAGAGAGACATTAACATTTTGTGTATGCAGCCAACAACTAATACATCATTACCTATAGGATTTAAAAGGGGAAATATTTTGTGGTAATCAACGTAAGTGGTGGTTTGGGGTGCAGGGTGCTTTTGTATGTTTCGTTGTTTTTAAACATAGTAATCGTCAGCAGTGGAGCCTTACTGGTCTAAAGAGCCCATCATTACTAGGCAAACTAATGATGAGATTCAGCAGCATGAACAATATTAATCCAGGGGGTGTTTTGATAAATTTTAGTTCAACAACGGAGCCAGAAAATCACTAATTACAAAATGCTTAGAGAAATATTTATTATAAATATGTTAACTGCCAAACTTACCTAAAGGTACTTTGCCACTTCAAGTGAATCATGCTTTTGGCGAGTTTGCAAATGCCAGAGTAGCATATATAATTTGTTGCACTTCAATTACTTATAAGGAGGAAACAGACTTCATATTTCTCATTTCAGTGATTTTTTTTACAATCTGAGACTCACCTTAAAAAGTGTTTCCTTTTATTTTGCGGTGGTTCTTAAAAAGTTGCCCATGTATAAAAGCTAGGGGGAAAAAAAGGATTGCAACAGGTGTTGCAATGGAGTTAATGAACTCATCTCACCTCTGACATCTGGGTTCATATCCAGACTGTAGGAGTCGCCATTTTCCAGCAGTTACCACACGGGAAGTAACAGATTTAAATGGTGGAGATCTGTGGTAATGGTGTGGTAACAGCTGCCAAATGATGACTCTTGTAATGGCTTCTACTGTACTTTTGTTCCATCAAGCTATTTCACACTTAATATTAAGGCCTTTATTCTTTTGACATGAAGCATCAAGACAAATCAGGCAAAACAAAAGAATCATAACTAAGTGAGAACCATGCCATTTTATTAGATTAGTATTATGAACTTGTGATACTAGACAATTTGGGGGGCGATTTTAACATAGGGCCTGATTCTCTGGGGTGATGCAAGACCTTCAGCTTACATTGGGAGTTGAGAGTGCTCAGCACTAGGCTATAATTTATCTTTAGTATCCTGTCTCGAATGGCTTATAAAATAAATAGCAACTGCCTTGTAATTCTTGGTTTTTGTTTATATGTGACCTAGCCACTCAGACAGTTATAGCTAAACACCATGTTTTATGGATGCAATTATGTATAACACATTTCCCAATATACTCTCAAATACATTTTTGCCTGTTGCTTAATTAGCAAGGTGTTCTCCACAAATATTAGAAAGATATATGGTGTACAAAATTTATTAGACACCTACTAATAAAAGGAAGTCAGCCTGTTGCTTACTAGTAGAGGGCGCTCTGAAAAGAATAATTGCACTTTTAATTTTTTCTTGTCATTCTTTCATGTGGTCTTAATCATTTGCTTATAGTTGGTTGAAACAAAAAGTTCTAATATTAATCAAGGTACTCTCCCTTACAGAATTTAAAGAGATGTACTTACCATGTACAATCAGGACATACTCTGTGCTGTTTTGGCCAATAGGGTTTGTTGCTTCACATCGATATGTACCATTGTCCGTTTTGTTTAGGAAACTAATTCTTAGGTCCCTACCATTGACAACCATTCTCTCTGGGTCTGGTAGTTCTCCGCCATCCTTTGTCCACAATACTGGTTCCGGCCTATTGGATCCAAATCAACAAACTGTATCAGTTGTAAGTAACACATACCGTAGCATATAAAACACTCAGACAACAGCATTAGAGATAGGTGAGCAGAGGGAGGCACCATTTATCAGCTACCAAGGAATATCCATCAATTACTTGAATTTTTGGTATTGCATGTATATTGGACACCAAGCACTGTCTTCTAGATTACTTTGAAAGTGATACCGTCACATCAGCCAATCCATGTGTTCAAATGAGATGCCACTCCAGAGAGGGTGGTACTTATAATAATACACGTGCAACATTACTATGCAAAGGGTAGTCTGGGTAGGTAAGTGTGCCCCTAGTAAACTGGTACTACACCCACATGTTCAAAAATATAACCATAGGTGGTTATGATACACTAATCATAAAAACCCCAGTATGTTTGTCTTTCCCAATGGCTAAGTGACCCAGCAGCTCTTCATAAAGGGAAAGAAGGTAAGTCCCTGTGAGAATATGAAGGGTTGTCAGGACATTATGGGGAGTCATCAGATGAGGGAATGAGAAACCACAAAGAATGTGAGGAGGGCATTTGGACATTCAAGTGAGTTATGACAAAATGATTCTGGAAGAAAATCTTAAGTTTGGAGAAGTGGTTGGATGTTCAAATTGCTTGGACAACACACATTAATCCCAAGTGGACTTTACTGTGTTTAGTGAGTTTCCTGAACCAACCATAACCATCTCTAATTGGCATGTTTTAATCTAAATTTGGTTTTGTAGAGAAGTTTTGCCAGAAGCCAAAATAAACCCCCCACCCCACCACCAACTCATATGTTAAAAGCATGACACTTCTATCATCACTAAACATTGGTAGTTTAGGAACAATTGTCCTACTTCTTGGAAAAAAAGCAGTAATCATTAGCAAAGTTAGCAGAAATAAATGTTTCCCTAATGTTTTATCAGATGGACATAGCAAGGTTGGGGAATTATCTTCGCAAAGAGGCTGAGAAATCTAAATAGAGCAAAAGAGATTAAGATAATGTGGCCCTGTTAACATTTTTTCTTTAATTGCCACCATAGTACATCTTGAGAGTTGTAGTCCATCTAGGGACCTCAGCACCCAGAGGAGAAAGGGGACATGAGGTGCCTGAAATACAGCTGACAAGGCACCGTGGTGGCATTTTCTAATTGACTATTTCAGTTTTCAGCTGAAACTTTCAGTTTTTGATTCCATCCTAAGAAGCTGAAATTTCCCACAGGGGGAAAAGAAAAATGACCGATTTTTCAGCCTAAAATCACCTGGGTGGAATTGCAAACGAGGAGTTATAAATATCTTTATGATGGGCAAGTGTAGGGATGAGAGGTTTGCTTGCTGAATACTGAACAGCTAGAGACCAGATTTACCTGAGGATCTGAGGTGCTAATCAATAAACCAAGATGTACCTCATAGACCATTCACCATGTTGAACATGCATCTGATTATATGAACCAAGTCTAAGGAAACAGACAAACCAGAGCAACGGTTACCATCCCAACCAAGATGGTAAGGAACAAAGCGGAAAGGAGAAACTGCAGCTTTGCATTCATTCCTAGCAACTTTCATGTTGCCATTTGACACCTGACTCCCCACTAGAGAGTATCCAGGCTGCCTACAGTAAGTGAGACATCCCTAATGATGAAGGTGTTTAAATATGCAGTCAGTTTCCACTTCTTCATGAATATCTGTGTGTGCAACATCATAGCTGTTTCCAAACCAATGAATTATGGTTGTGCTGATGATATTCAGTACGTTTGTATGTTATAGGCCAAAGTCGACACTCCTTCACTCAGGTGAATACCTAGAGTGAACCCAATTAATCAAGAATCATTCCAAACTTGTACTTATGTACCTGGGAGCAGAATTTGGCCTTTTATGTTTTAATTTTCATGTCAATACATTTAGCTATATGACCAAATAATTAAGCAAAATAAAATAGCTGTTAGGAATTCAGCATTTAGGGATTGAGTTTTGCTGAGCACCACAAGGCCTAACTTTCAGAAAATCGCTGGGATTTACAAAGCCTAAAAGTTTGGCACCTCTCCTCCCTATAGAATGAATGGGGAGAGATAGGTGCCTATCTCCCCAAGAGGGTCACAGCTCGTCTTAACATTCTGCCATTGGCTAGTTTAGGTAGCTCCATGCTCAGCATGCTGCGTTTTGTGAATCCCATTTTTAGGCAACTAAGTCCAGGCTGCAGGGAGGCACCTATCTCCACAGCCATGAACCCTCTGCTGGAGTTAAGTGACTCTTGTAAGAAGTGATGATGATGGAGAAGCACCCTCATAACATTTAGTTCAGTGACTAGTGTACACTTCCAGGGTGTGGGAGATCCTCTGCATGAACAGGAGAAGGGATTTGCACAGGGATCTGCCACCTCTCAGGGGAATGCCCCAGCTTCTGGGTTATGGGATATTCTGAGGTGAGTCTCTCTCAGTTGCTCCTGTTGAAACTGTGCCACTTTGGATAAATAATTAAACAGTCACTGGGACAGAGAATGAGTGTGAGAATGATGCCATAGCCTGATGGGTAGGGCACTCACCTTGGAGGTGGGAGACTGAGGATTCAGTATCCCTACTCCAATGACTCTTTGACTATTTATCCAAAGCTCCACTCCCCTATTCTTTTTTTGTCAAGTTAGGCGGGCTCTGAACATGCCTACCAGATTGGGCCCACAGGTGAGTTAGTTGGAGAAGCACCTATCTATCTTCCCCCAGTTCATGGATCATTAATGTGTATGCTCAGAAGCACAGGCACCAAGGGAACTTAGGCCCCAAATGAGTTTAGGTGCCTAGTGTTAGGTGGCAGATGGGGGGGGGGGAGGGAATTGTGAATAGCAGTGTCACCTAAACCTGGGACAGTAAGGTACGTAAATCCCATTATGAATCTACTCATAGACCCCCAGTTCAGCAAACCACGATTCAAGAAATCACCGAAATTCTTAACTTTAGACTTAAGCTTAAATCTTACTGGCTTTACTGAGGTTTAAGAACAGAAGCTATATTGCTTTCCTGAAAAGTGATGGATTTAAGCATAGGCTTAAGTACTTTGCTGAATTGTGGCTTCAGGTCAGGCATATAAGAATACAATCCCATGAAGGGCAAGGACATGATTTTCTTTAGATTGCACTGCAAGTATAAGTGACATGATGTTTGCTGTCGTATACTATTGATCACTATGTTGATTTTTGTTTTAAACAACTTCTTCATGAAAATCTCCACCTAATTTAGTAGCAGGGGCATCATTTCAAAAACATTCTAGGGGTAGGGGCAATGTTGTGTCAGCATTCCCGCTTCTGCCTCCCCGCTGAGACTGCAGCTGCTCGTGGGGGCAGGATGAGTTAGCGAGCTGATTTTATCCCGGAGTAAGGTGGGATGCTGGTCATATCCCGGGGAGTAAGAGGTGGGCTCTGGGAAGGGATTGGGGCCTGGCTTGCTCCACACAAGTTCAACCCAGGCTGCTGTTGCTGCTTTCTGTCCTGCCAGTGAGGAGAGCAGTGCTGATAAGCTGGCACTTAAGAGCTCTGGCCCATCCTGCCCCATTTCATAGCAGCCCTTTCAGGCCCAGGGCAGACACCTGGCAAGGAGCTATGAAAATTCAGGATAGGGAGTAGGACAAATGCCCCCTAACCCATAGCAAAGAGCATTTCCTGTTTCGTGGAACTTAAATGATTTGTGCTCTTTATGAGAAAATAAAGATTTTTTGGTATTAACCGTAGTAATTACCCTTGTGATAGTTTGCTGAAGTCTTGTTTAATATGATTTGGATTTACTATCCAGATCAACTGCTCAGTGGGACACTCATTCAAAAAAGCACTGGAGCACATGCTTAAATTCATCCTTATTCAGGAAATCACATAAGAATGTGCTTAATTTTAAGCACATGCTTAAGTACCATTGACTTTAATGGGTATTAAACATGTGCTTTAAGTGAAGTGGGTGCTTCAGCACCCTTACTTAATGAGGAAACTAAATATACAGGGCCTAAATATACAAACAAATATATTTCTATCCCTTATGTTAATATACACAGTAATACAGGGAATTCTCGGACTTCACGACGCCTGACTTAGGTCGGATGTAACTTATGACGCTTTTCAACTGATTGCCTGTTTTGCCCCTACGATGCTTGTTTCACCCTTAGGTCGCTTGATTTGCATAAAGTTCGCTTGAAATCATTTCCTGGTTGCATTATACTGGTATGGAGCTGGAAGGGGTCGCTTCTGATAGGCTTCAACACAGCAAGGTAGCTTTTTGCTAATTGGGGTTGCCAATTATTTTTGATTGGCTGAGCCCGGGGCCGGGAGCCAATCAGAATGCTTGATCAGTGACTGGCTGAGGCTGGTTTTCGGAGCTTGTATTGCTGGCATTCTGAGCAGCATATGTGAGTTTATATGATTACTTGAATGCTGTTTACAAAATACAGTGTACAGTAAATACTTTGATGTTGTAACATTAGTCATCTATAATTCATTTAGTATAAAAATCTGGGTTATTGTGAGGAAAATAGCATACCAATCTCCCCTTCATACCATTGATTCCTTTGGGAAAAGCGCTTTCATCTTACATCACAATTCTGAGGAATGAATTGTGTCTTGAGTCCAAGAACTCCCTGTATAATAGCCTTTATATGTAAATGACCAGCCTGTCCCAATATGTAAAGGAAAAGTGTGGAAATCTGATTTGTCATAATTTGCTAACAAAGGTTGATCAGTACAATTTTTTAATCACACTCCTCATTGCTTCTCATTTACTAATTTACTGAGAGGTTACATTCCCAAGAGCAGGAACTCCGAAGTGTTTCTGCCAGAATGTACATCACTGCTTTCATAAAATGCATTTTTAAGCAGTTTCTTTACAACAATAATTTACAGAAGTAAAAATCTTAATTTAAATTAGACAGAAAACCCATAGGACCACAAATAGCCATCAAGTGAATGGTTGGCTACATTTACCTCCAGGGACCTTATTATGTCTTAATAAATAGTGTTTAT